AAAAATGTTGTTATTAGTTCGGAATTGCGGAACTGACCACAAACAACGATATTCAGCTACTGTGTTTCCGGCTTGACCGATATTCGCTCGCCGCTAACTTTGCATCGACCACCGCATAATCATTTTAGTACTACGACTGCTGAATATCGCTTAACTACTTTAACTATCGAAAAGTGTTTACAACTTTGATTGCAGCATTGCATCGTTAAAGGCAAAACAGATGCATAAAAAAAGAATATGCAATACGAAGACAAAAACTAGGATAGCCATTATTTACTTTTTTATTCAGAGTAAGTTGATCCCATTTAAGATAAATTAGTGGTAGAAGAAGCTGTTTTTGTAAAAATGCTCTCGCACAAAAGGTGGATTTAGGTCGAGACAGTCGTTAATTAACGGCGCAAACTTAAATAGGAATACTTCGGGCACTCGTGTGAATGAGGATTTAGTACAAAGTTAAAAGTCATCGTATTATAGAGGAGACAATTTGCAAGTTACACGGGAATTACCCAATTTTCATTTAAACTTTCATAGCGCTGTCTCATTCTTCAAACGGATTTTCCGACGCTCGAGGGTCCTTCATTTAAATACAATCTCAAAAGTATTACGTACTAGCTTCCGCCTGCGGCTCCGTCACCCACAGAATCTGAAAAGTTTTTTTGGCTCTCTATGTTCAAGGACTTTCTTCATCGAGTCTTAAAATTAATGTTTTATTTGGTGCTAGAAATCGGAGTTGAGATCTAATCAAAAATAGTTTAAGGTTGTCGGGCGGCAGATAGCGCTTAAATATGTGAATATTGCAAGTCAGCCTGAAAGTATTTCGATGTTAACATTTTCCGCTCGTGCTATATTGAGGATGAAATTGAAATTATTGCATTTATATATTTCAAAAATATTACACAAATTTCATTTGATACATTGCTTTTTATATCTTCAAACTTTAGTATAATTATAAATCTGTCAGACCTTGTGTGTATGTTCAATTTCAAAACACAATTTCATTGAAGATTGTTCGTTGAAGTTGTGTCGTTTTTTACGGTCTTGAATATAAATTAAAGTTTAGAAAACGGAGTGATGTATTACTTAGGATTCGATTGATCTGTATTAATTGATATATCTATATTAGATAGATAACAACTTTTAATTTGAAAAGGCAGGTCAATTGAAGTGTAGAAAAGGTGTCGCATAGATGCAGGCTTGCGAGATAGGGCGGGCGGCGGATCGGGAACGTTCGAACCGGGATTGCGGATTCAATAGGTATTTTCGCATAATTGACAGCTCTGTGTCGACTTACCGCCTCAATGCGATCTCATTCTCAGCCAACTGAGCAGTCTGATTGATTGATGGACTTGGAATATGAATCTTGAGGTGCATCATTTTAAAAATAAGGGTCAAGCATAAACGACTTTGTATGTGAGTTCATAAATTACAGTTAAACCAGGAAAAATTGAATGTTTGTGGACCCAATACTATTAATAATACTTAATGAGAACGAAATCCCTAGAAAAAATACTTTAATAGACATTTGCTTACTTTTAAACGAATGATTCTTGTTTATATGGAAAATGCTGTAGGTACAGTATCGCCACAAGATTCTTTATTAACAAAAAATATTATTAATTCACCAAAAACTGAAATAGCATATAATATCTTGCATGAATTAACGTTAATGTTCCAAAGATTTGTTCAACTTCGCCAAAGCGTTTGAAAAGATTGTTCGGTTTTGGCAAAAGAATAATAATTGTTTTGGATTATTATTATTCCCGTCAAACAAACGCAGGTTTTACTATCTTTATGAGCTGTTTTGCGTTCAAGAAAAACAAGGTGTATTAATGAAAGCGGTTGATTAAACGAACAAGCTAAATGGTTATCTGCACAAACAACGCCAGGGAAAATTGGATAACGGCTAAACGTTGAGCTTATTTGTTTCGTATTCCTCACACACAGTGCAGGCGGCAATTAATTTCGCAGTTTTTTCCGTTTTTTGGGCCAGGAATGATTGGAATGGTTTTATGACAAGCCTTTTGTGGAAGGAATATATAGTAGATATAGACGACCTTTGCCGTGCGCATTTGAACTTCAATTTATAGAACTGTTTGCACTGCTTGGTCAAATTCTCGCAACGTATTTATTGTTATGTAGCATTAATTTTTGTAAGCTATTCTCGGTCTTCCTCGTCCTCTCCTGCCTTCTATCTTCCCCACCAAGATGGTCTAAAGAAGTTCTCGTGTCGCACCAGGTGTCCAACCATCTTCCCTCTCCAGTTTTCTATGGTACTCAGCAGATTTCGTTTCTCACCGACCATACCCAGCACCTCTTCATTGGTCTTCTTTTCGGTGCAGCTTATCTTCATCATTCTCCTCCAGCACCACATCTCAAATGCTTCAAGTTTTGGTCGTGACATACCAGGAGGTCAAGACACTGGCGCAGAACCGCACTGAGTGGCGTTTAATCCACAGACAAGAGCCCGGCTCTTAAATTTGAAAGATTAAGAAAGCATTAATCTTTAAATCTAATAATTATAGTGTTATGATAAACTAGGCGTTTTTGTTAAAAAATAGCAGTACTCGTCGTTTTCACCTAAGTACATAATATGTTTACTTTTTTAAGATGGCATATTCTATGTAGTTACGGGCAGAAAGAGCTCAACTATAAACGCATTTCCCGAGAAATATAAAGCCATTAACGTAAAACTGTCTCAGCAGACATTAAAACAATAGAGTTGATGAATACGAGCGACGTTGTCGCACCGCACTTGCGGCGCCGAGAGCTCGGCTAAATATTTGAATTTCGGATATTCGCACTCAATTCCATAAACAATGCGGATAATAATTAAAATTGGGATTTAAACAAGATTTATGTTATCACTCTGAGACCATTTAAAACGTTTACGTGTTACCAGTTTAGTTCCTGTAGGTTCCTTCCTCCGCGATTTACTAGTCTTGAGCTAAGAGACTCGGCGTCTTTGCCCGAGACGGAAAAGATGTATTAGTGCTCAATAATCTTTTTTATCAGATCTGTTAATTATTTCGAAATATCATTCTGCTAGAGACTAAGGAAATGCGGAGAATTTTTGCCAGTAAGCCAACCCCAAGACTGTAAAATAAATAAAACGAAAATAAACATAAGGTGTGAGGAAGCTGTATTGTGTTAAGGGGATCGCGCAAAACGCCTATGATATTTGGATCGGCTTTGCGGTTGTAACTTGTGAACTGTAATTGCGTCAATCTGCCGAATTAGCGCTTACATTGCTGCTTACTATTATTTAACACGATAAAGTTTCATACAAATATAGTTTAATTGTTTATTTCTCTACTCTACATGCCCGCACAATTTTTTACATGGCGCTTCATAAGCCCATCATTATTTAAGATTCGTTTTTATTTAATACGCAATGTATTGCTTACCATGTATAAAGTCGAACGCGATGAGGCACGAGTGTCGCAGTATGTCCCTGTTGGAATCGCACGAGATTAGGGAAAAAACAAAAGGATTGTGTTGGTTATGCTATCAAAATATGTTTATCTATACCGCAACGTGTTACGTCTATTCGATGAAACTAATCCTAACTCATCATGAAGATAAAAATATTGCAAAGGTTAAAAGAATCTGATTTTATTGTTTGTAAAACACGAATACGGTTTCCAAGTAGTCAACATATTATACACTATATTCTTACTATTGAGTAATAAAACTGATTGGTGAGTTAAATAATTAGAAAAATGCTTCGAGGGTGGACTGAAATTACACTTTTAATAAATGTTGCAATTCATTACAGTTGCCTTTACCCTCGTTTTACGTAACGTGTTTTGTGTGTGTTCATCCTTTAAACTCATAAATGAATACATAATTTGGGGGAGTTCAATGGGTAATAGTTTTTTTTGTAGGAAAATACGATTAAAAAATGTAAAATATATGTTTTTAAACGAAAGCAGAAAGCTTCCCATCAAAAAGTAAATCTTAAGAAAATCCTTGCTCATTCCAAAAATAAATATTGTAAGATAACTCGCTGAAACACATTACGTGCGAGGGTGCGCATACATTTTCTCGCACCCCCATTACTCGAGCACCGCACCTTGACAAGCACATAGCTGATAAGTGATAACATTGCCTCCTTGTGTTTCAGGTAAGTCGTAACCAACGTCGCCTTTAGGACGGAGTACGTAAGCTTATTTGCTTTGAATGAAATTATTGAAGTTGAAAGTATCGATTGCCTGTGGTCCCGTGACTCCCCCTGGTGCAGTGGAATATAGTGGTGCTCCTCCCTCAAAGGCCGGCAACGCACCCACTAAAAATGGGTGTAAAAATGCTCTTTTTGTGCGGCCAGGAGGCTCGTTTCCCCCTATACTAAAAAAAATATGGCAAATACACTTCTGCGTCTTTTACATTAATTGTTTTGTTTAGCCACTGATCAGCGTAACGGAACTTGAAAATCGAACACAGATTCTCTCTATTATACGTTACCTCATGACAACTAAACGCAAAGCGTAAACAAGGACACACTCGTATAGATTAGATATTGAATATAAAGTATAGAATGCCAGTCGCTTCTTTTGTTACCTATTTATGTTTATTTTTCATAGAAATCCATTAGTGATGTTCTTTGTCAACAGGTTTTTAATTATTATTCACTCGGGCTTTTTAATCAACTTGTGTACTATTAAAACTTTTATGTGCAACAATAAGCGGGCTGAGACAAGGACTCCAACCTCTGTGTTTTAGGTTCATTATTGCGACGGTTTATCACATGACTGGTGTTAAAAGATTATTTTATTGAATCATTTAAACGGTAATATTAAAATGTTTACGTAAAGCAACCTTTACAATTACATCATATCACAAAATCTTAATCTTGTGTTTTCTTATTAAAAGTGTATTTTAGAAATAAATACACGCGCATTTATTTATGCAGAAATCTGTTTCTAAGCGATTCGTAAAATTCAATCACTTTTTATCGTATTGAATTTTATAAACTTTTCCGTGAATAAAGATTTATTTATAATTTAAGATATATAAACCCCAGGCCAGACAACACTCTCGATCCACTCAATGTACCGAGAAACCCTCGTGTATACACCTGGAGCCATTTTCCTTCCACAATCCCTTCCAAAGGACGTCACTCCGACCAACACGTGAAGAGGGAATGTCCTGATGCAGTCCACATGCTCCTCCATGTACTGAAGAGGGCCTCCCGAATCACCCTGACACGTATCCTTTCCCCCGTTCTCGTAGTCGCCGGCGCACATCTGCTCATCCGTAATTCCATTCGCAAGAACTCTTCTTCGAATTAAAATCCTCATCGATCGATTGCACACTGTGCCGTTGATGGAATCGACGTCTACCTTCATTAAAGTCTGACTACCCGCTGCTGCTCCCGACCTTGTCGTGCCGAAGCCTATGGCTGTCAATTTAACAGGTGGAATATTGTCATCTACTTGCAAGCATGCGATGCGGACGTTTCTACTTAGTATAAATGGTGGTTCGGCTTTCATCAACGCTATGTCGTGGTATTTAGAAGGTGGCCTATATCCGGGATGTGGAACAATTGCAGATATAAGTCTTTCTTGTGCCAACTCATCGACCTCGTCAAACTCAAACGTGGCAGTTCCGATTCTCATGACTTTTGCGGGTCCGTACATGGGATCTTCAATACAGTGCGCAGCGCTGACCACCCATCTGTCGCTTATCAGAGTTCCACCGCATTTCCAAGTCGGGTCCTGGTTGTCGTTTTGAAAGCCAATTAAAACCATGTGCGGGTAGAGCAGAAGGTCTACTGGCACTCTCACTTTCGAGTTGGGATATAAAACGTTATGACACTCGAGCATAGATTGGCCGTGGCTCGTACAGGCCAAGATGGCCTTTTCGCCGACTGAGGCCGCAGGAGCGAAGTTTAGCGCGACGAGCACAAAGCATATTATCATTTCCCATGAAAAATGTAAAGGTAGTTGGTGGCGGTGCGCGCGGAGCACTGAGGCCGCCGCCGGTAGTGGCAGTTATCAATAATTCGTCTCGCTGAGTTAATGGTATGTGAATATTAGCCATTAAGGTAATCTCAGCGTTTCGAATGGATTTACTGCGCCGCGGTTATGTAGTAATGTGTTTTTTCCTTACGGTTTGCTTGTTTTTTATTTATTTTATCAAATTAAGTAAGTGTCACTAGGGAGATTTTTTTCTGGGATTTCGTAACCGTTTTGAAATAAAACATGAAATTGTTCCGAATGAAATGCCTAAAAAATTATACATATATAGGTATAATGTATATACCTACTAAAACAGAACCACAAACTTCTGTCGACCTACTTGACATGATTCGCATCGAAGTATTGAATCTTTTACGTAGTAAAGTATGAACGGAATGTTCTCACATTTCACTTCAATAAACTACTTAAGACAATTAACATGACGGCAATTTGTCTGCTCTTTAATTAAGTTGTAGTTCACATTACAATTATTGTCAGTCATGAGTGACAATAATTCGGTATATTAATCGTGTGACTGCGGAGGAAACAGGGTCGTAATTATAGAGACTGTCTGTTTCACAGCGACGCCCTTTAGAGTCCGTACGCACGTATTGTATCGTAATTCAGTTTGGCGCAAGTGTTTCCAACACAAAAGTTATAAGGCGGTAATCGGAAGACGTGCCTTCGATATACCATCCTTCCGAAAAACTTCTCTTCGAGCAAAAGTTATGTATTTTTTTCGAAAAACCCTTTAAGTTACGTAATTTCTGAAAAAGATATGACTGATTACCATTTCTCTTTTACATTAGTATTTCGAAATAATGTTGTATATAGTAGACAAATAAATTTAAGGTCCCTCCTATATTTCTAGAGAAGTGACGTTTGTAATATATTTTTCATTTTATGAGATAATTTATATATGTTATTTTATACTTGTTTTATTATTTAATATATAACCAGTTATCAAATTTTCATGACGATTGAGACCGGTTGAGGTTTTGTGCAATAAAGTAAACATCTCAAGACAAACTCTCTCACAAATGCTTCATGCGTGTATGTGTGTGTTTAACGTCTACATTATCATAAGCTATAGGAAATTGCTCCAAACCAGATACATAGAGATGAAGAAAAAGTAGGTGAGAGTAGCTGAATGACAATGAGGTCAGTGTAAAAGTTTTAATAATCCCGGGAACCTTGAAACTCGCCTAATGAGACTCGTAAGATTCTTGAATGTCGACATCGACTTATCGACATTTAAGTTGCGGTTAAGTAGGTCGGAAAAATTACTCATTCAAAATATATATCTACCATTCTTAGATGCCAATTAGAGCTAAATCTATATAAATTTACACGTTTAAGATAATTGAATCGGTGATTTCTAAAACCCCACATGTGACACAGACCTAACTTTTCAGGAGACAATAAAAACTTATTATTAATTTATGTGGTGGTTATTTAGTAATTTTTTTCAGTTTATATGTAAAATATATAACCTAACAAAGTACATTTCGTATTTTAAAATATTTCAATAATGTATGAATACTAGATAAACTTGCGTCACATGTGGGGTTTTCGCAAAAACTAAGGTTTTGGTAAATAAAATAATAAATTTCTAGGAAATTATGCAACTGAAACAATAAAACACTACATGAACAATATGTTTATTAAATAAAAAGTTATTAATCTTACAATCTAAAGCAATCTTAGTCTAATTTTTCGGGAATGTCGACATCACATGTTGGTCGAGCAAAAATTTCCGTATAGAAGGTTTTGTATTCTTCTGGTATATAAGGGAAAAGTTTTTTCAGGACATTCACTTTCTTTATATTGATAGACACATAGCCCTCATTATATACCTTCAAAATTGGAAGAGACACATCACTTCTACTTCCAAATTTGAAGGTGTGTTCATTGAAATCATTGTCAATGTATTTACGTGCAAACCATTGGGGGGGGGGGAGAGGGAGTAGGTCTGCTCTCCTTATGTTGGGATATAAAACGTTATGACACTCGAGCATAGATTGGCCGTGGCTCGTACAGGCCAAGATTACGTGTTCCTCTGTCTTGATAAAACAAGTGCATATAAGTTGATATATTGAAATTTTCCTTTGCATCTTTTTTTACCCTTTTCCCATGTGACTCTAGAGATATTATTTTTTTTTTTGTAGTAGGCACCCCACCAATCTTTAAAATTTAAAACGTCACTGCTATCAATCTGAACTACAGTGAAATTCTTTTTAGTTGAAGATTCTTCAATAATTTTGCATATATCTTCTATAGAATACAACCGCTCCATTACACGGAGTCTACCTTTAGCTACACTAAAATTTCTGTCACATGGCAGAAATGAGTGGCCTCTGATGGGAAAGTACTGATTTATCGAGTAAAATCTTCCAGAATCCACCAATACCAACAGAAACCTAGTAACAGTGTTGTTTTTGTTCTGCCCACCACATCCATCAGAAAATACGTATATAATGCTTCACTGTCCTTGGGATATTTTCATCTATGTATTTCATCATAAAGGAGCACACCTCGTTGGGGCCCTTTTACCCCTGACCTTCGTGATATACATAAAACAATGATTTACCACTGAGCAAGTCATGGATATTTAAAACATTGATAGTTAGCTGACACAATTATTGTGACTGATGTTGGGACGTTAAACCAGACTTATAAGAAGACAAGATATCTTAGAATACATGTACCGTACTTTCTTCTTTAAAGCCACAGTCAGTCATTTTGTGTACTGAGCACATTATTTTATGAAAGCTTAATAAAAAGCAAAAATGCGAATGTCATCAATTCGGAGATTAGCAGCAAAACGACCTTAACTCGGGGTATAAAGCTCGTCACAGATTACATTAGGAGCGGTTGGTCTGCTGCCAACTTGCACTATCTCGCGGGTGAAGCTAAAAACTTTAATTTTCGCATTTGGCTTAATTGTCGCTTTTGTGTGTTAACTACGAGTACACACACGATATTCCTATTGGAACTTGTGCTATAGTGTGGGTGAAACGTTTGTAGGGCGTTTAGATGTCCTACAGAAATATAAGGTCCTTACATATGAAATTGGCGTTTTGTATGGGAGGTTACGAACAAAAATAAAAAGTCGAATATTTTTAAATATAATATATTTAATTAATCAAAGTATGAACCATTGTTTTCTATGCACTTTTGCCATCTCATAGGTAGTTCATTGATCCCTTTACTAAAAAAACCAGTCGGACGGGAATCAATAAAATCTGTGAAGGCGATTTGGACTGCCCCATCAGAGTTAAATTTTTTCCCTTGCAAGAAGTTGTCCAAATTTCGAAAAAAATGGTAATCTGTTGGAGCAAGGTCCGGGGAGTACGGAGGATGTCTTAGACATTCCAATTGAAGCTCTTCTAATTTGGTAGCCGTCTGTTGTGCAGTGTGTGGTCTAGCGTTGTCGTGAAGTAGCAGTGGCGTGGAGCGATTGACCAGCCTAGGTTGTTTAGCCGCTAGCTTTTCCATCATGGTTTGCAATTGCTGACAATAGACATCAGCCCTAATAGTCTGGCCAGATTTGAGAAAACTGCAATGAACAATACCGGCACTAGTCCACCAAACGCTTACAAGTAACTTTTTTGGGGTTAATTTTCGCTTGGGACAGGATTTGGCTGGCTGGCCAGGATCCAACCATTGCGCTGAGCGCTTCCGATTATCGTAAAGAATCCATTTTTCATCACAGGTAATGATTCGGTTTAAAATACCTTCATTATTGTGCCGGTTCAGTAATGTAACGCAGCAGTCGACGCGCGTTTGCCGGTTTGCTTCAGTCAATTCGTGAGGTACCCATCTTTCAAGCTTTTTAATCTTCCCAATTTGCTTCAAGTGAATTAAAACAGTTTTATCACTAACACCGCAGCCTGCAGATAACTCGGACGTGGTTTGCGATGGATCCGCTTCCACAATATCCTTCAATACTTCATTATCAACTGGGGTCTCAGGCCGTCCACGGGGCTTGTTCTGCAGGTCGAAATTTCCAGAACGAAAACGTTGGAACCAAAAACGAACTGTGTTTTCTTTTGCAACATGACCGCCATACACATCATTCACCCTTCGAGTCGTTTCCGCAGCACTAGTGCCACGGCGGAACTCGTACTCGTAAATAATGCGATACTTTAAGTTTTCCATTTTGTAAAATGAGTGACGCAAACAGAAAAAAAAGAAGAAAAACAAATGAATGACGGTCATCGAAGCACAAATACATGAGTAAATAGCTGTACAAATTTGAATTTGGAATTCCTTGCCAAAGAGGAGAACATCGTGATTAAAGTGGCCAGTACGAAATACGCCAATTTCATATGTAGGGACCTAATATTAAGTTTTTTGTGAAACAGGCTCCTTTTATTAAAATATTATTTTAATTTAAATAAATTAAGAATCTCCAAAATATGGTTTGGTAGTTTCTTGGCGTCGTTAAAATTGTAAAGGACAGTAGCATTTCGTCGGGCTTAATTAAAAGACTCTCCCGAATGATTCACCTTTCTGCATCCGATAGCGAGTAATAGGTTTACCGAGGAGGAGCGGCCTTTTATAATTTCGATTAGAATTTTTTTCTGCCGCCAAAAAGATTCTTTATAAAAGTGAACCCGAATGGAAATAATCTAATTTGCAAAAGTCGGTTTTTGTTTTGCCGAATCCAATATAACGGTTGAATAAGTTGATAAAACGATACCCGTTCGAATCTTATATTCATGGGACAGTCGCGCAGAGAAGCGGCCTTTCCCCCGGGGCGGCGAGGGGGGCACGTCTCGCACTTTGTATGCTGAGTGTACTTTGAGAGTTTAGCGATCGTTGACTTCGGGACATGTGTGGCGAATGCTTTTTTGAAAAGTCACTTTTTCTGCCGAAAAAAACAAGTTGAGTTTGTTTAAGTGTCGTGCTTGAACTAATTTTTACCCGCTTAGTTAATCGATTATTATTTATTCAAT